TGCATTTGGTCTGATCTACCCAGCTGTGCCCGCCCAGGGCCCCTGCTTGGCAGGTCTTGGCCTAAGTCACTAGATTGCCTGAGGGGGACCCGAGGTCAGTGGGGGTTAGCCAGAGTGAAATACACAAATCAGAAAGCGGGAGGTGCTGCGCCGGCCGGAATGCATGTGCTCAAATGCCTCTGTAGGCTATGGTTTCCTGCCAGTTTGGGGAGCTTTTTCTCCATTTCAGAAAAAACAAACTTACAGCGAAGGGTGAGGGGTTAGGATTTGGGATTGGGGGAAAAGGTGGGTGGAGAGCCCACCCAAGGAGGTGAGGAGGGGGCTGCAAAGATTACACCTGGACATATGTTTCCCTAGAAATCACATTCATTGTAATTTTGTAATTTATTCTAAATCTTTCATGCGAAGAAAATCAATAGTGGGTGTTAGTACTGGTGGCCCTCCTGATCACACCTGCATCTCTTGAGTGTGCCTTAAAGGTCTTGGGAATGGAAATATAAAAACTGCTTCGTGATGCGTCATCTTTATCCCCCACTCTCCCACCCATTCCAATATACTTTCTACTTCCAGCCTAAATTCCGGGCCCCCTGCGGGGGCAGGCCATGATCTTGACGCCGGCATAGGGGAGGCCGCGCTCTGTCCACCCCAGGCTGGTGATGCCGTTAGCTTCCTGTGCCCGGTATTGTAGGCTACACGCCTTTCTGGCATAAGGAGCTGAGCGCCTAGGCCACCGCTCCTCAACCTCTCAGTAATGTTTACCCGAGGCCTCGTGCAATGAGACTATTCGTAAGGCATTGTCAACGCGGCGGCGCGCGCGTCTCCGGCCCTCCGCGGCTTGCCCGACTATCCTGCAAACCACCTCACCCGTCTCTTTGGCGCAGGAGACTCAGGCTGTAAGAGGAGGAACCACTTCACCCTGGAACCCTAACTCAGGTCCTGGCAAAAGATGCAAGAGGAAGCCTTGCTCTCTTAGTAAATCTCGGCCGCCCGCACATCTGGCCCCTGGTCTAGCTCGGTAGAGGACTGGCTGGTGGCTGCGCGGTCCAGGCCGTGGGCACCCGACCCACCTCTGTTTTCCTTCCTGAGGCGCCCCTGGATTACCACTTTCGGTTTGCGCTTACATCCGGGTTGTCGAATTTCCCAGGGAATCATAATTATTTTATCTATAATTTATTCTAACCCCAAGGTTCCAAGAAAATTTGTAATGAACGTTAATATCTACAGACTCCTGGTCAATCTGCATCGGGCCTGGTGAGAGAGCCGTCGGGTTCTTCGCAGTGGGTGACTTCAGGTCCCCCTGCCTTGTTTCCTATCACTCTGAAAGAATTTTCTCCCCAGAGGGAATCCAACTTGTTTGAAACTGGTTTCTCCTCTCTGATTTTCTGCACTGGAGAAAAATCTCGATCTGCTTTTCGAAAAGATTTTTTTTTTTTTTTTTTTTTTTTAAGAAGCATCCGGGCAGGCCCGAGGAGTCGGGCTGAAGGTGAGCCAGCCATTATTGCCTCAGACTTCCGGACGTTACGTACCCCAAGCACCTGAGCTACTAGGGGTATATCAGACAAGATTTCCCGGCGCAGCCCCAGGAGTCCCTTCGCCCGCTCCCAGTCCGCAAGCGCAGGGGATCCTGCGCTCTCTCCTGCAAGGCCTTGGCGTTTGCTGAGCTCTCTCCGCGCGCGTCGAGGAGAGGCTGCCTGTAGTGAGCAAAAGCTGGGAGTTGTTAGAGATTCCGCAGCAGCTCGGAGGGCGAGATCGGGTTTGTCCCACGACCTCGGCGCCAAGAAATTGTAGAAAGAGACAGACCCCAATTTTCTCCCCTTGGAGTTGAAACAAAACCTGAAAGCCCGAGGTTGCCCGCACCGCCAGAGGTGGCGCCTAGGCGGCGGGGGCGACCTGAGCCGCGTGCCTGCGCGGTTCCCAGGCCTGGGTTCTGTTTCTTCCTATTTAGTTAGTTACTTAGCTGGTTAGCTAATCGACAGCTCACAGGCAGCACTTATGCAAACGCCAAGCCTGGACCCATGCTGAGTCTCCGCCACCGCTAGACCTATAGTTGCCCGGCTGGGCTCCCAGAGGAGTGACGAAGGGAAATTCCTGGTAATTAAAGGGGAGGTTTTCCCGGGGCGCCCCTTGGTGAAGTGGCCTTGGCTTCAAGTGAGGAACAAAGGACTAAGGTGCCTGCGCGCAGCGCGCCCTCGGGGCCTGGCGCGACCCGCATTCACGCCCCTCCCTGCTCCACGGCTGCCGCGGGCTTTGTGCGCCGGGGCCGCGCGCCGCGCTGCACCTGCCCGGCTTTAAGTACCTTGGCGAGGCAGCGCGGGCGGCTGTTCTAATCGCCGTCTCCAAAGTACCTGCTCATGAATAAACACCAACCCCATTTATCAGGTACTTAGCGCTCATTGTGAAGGGGAAATTGGCCCTTTTTGAAAGTGTCTATCCACAACCCATCTGCGCAGTTCTGGTTGCAGAATTCCCCTCACCCTTGAGACACACACACACACACACACACACACACACACTCGCAACACGAGGCTCCTCCAAGCTAAGATAAACTCGCTTTTCTTCCCGTAAGTGCGTGATTGAGCCGCGACAATAGGCGGTGAGAAGGAGGCCGTTGGGTCAATAGCCTGCGTCTCTCCCATTGATAGGAAAAGTCAATGCGCGGAATGCAGGGACTTAGGAAAGCCCTGTCCGGCATTCCAGTCACAGGGGTCACACTTGCATCAACGTGCGGGCACGTTGCCCCTTGGGTCCCCCAAACACTGAGCAAAATATTGGAAAGGCGGCCCGAGGTGTCTGTGGTGCCTGTCAGCATTGGTCGGGTGGGCCCCAGCTGCACCCTGGGTTCCCCTACTTTCCCCCAGTTGGGCCCCACATCTTGATCTGGCTCTTAAGTCTTGGGCATAGGGGATAGAGAATTTAAGGATCCAGATACTATGCAATCCCCGGACCTGTAGGAGGAAAAGTGGCTCCTCTGGGAACCCGGATGGGCCGAACAGCAGCTTCCGGCAGAGGCCCTCAGGTTTTAGAGTTCTCCGAGTGGGGAGAAGGGCGGCCTGCTCAGTCCGCGCACCGGTGGCAGTACCACGGAGGGAATAAAAGCAGGGTAAACAATTTGAAAATCCCCACAAAGGCAAAAAAGTAAATTTACAAACACATTTGCGTCCTGAATGCTCGCTTCTTTTTCACTCATACATTCCTTCTAAACTGTGGGCTTTCTGTGTACATGGGCGCGCATTCCCAGGACTCGTTTCCCTGGGTGGAATTCACCCAGGAATACAATCGATTTTCTGAACCTGCTTATGGCCACAGGCAGCTCTGAAAATGAAAGTGTTTGCTAAGTGGGGGAGATCTCACCAATCAAACGTTTAAAAATGGCTTTGTCTTCATTCAGCTCTCGATTTATTTTGTGTTTTACAAATAGAAGCTCAGAGCTTCCGTCGCCCAGTCCTTGCGTGACTCATGGCGGTGGCCACACGGGGTTCAGGTATAGGGATGTTTAGAAAATCGCTGCATATCGGAGTTTCCTAGCACGTTCCATTCATACTGAACGCAGGCGGCCACCGAAAATCCAGCCTCGACTCTTGCCATCGACTGGGTAGGGCCCTCGGGGTCCTGCGACCGCACTGGAGGGTGTTCCCGGCTCGGGTCTGGGGAGGCCTGCGCGGGGACTAGGTTCTCGAGAGGCGAGCGGGCGCGCCGGAGAACCCGAGACTGCTGCGGGGCGGACGCGGGATCCCTGGGCTGCGGTTCTACGCAGAAACACCAATGGCCATGCCTCCCCAGCTCCTCCCAGCCCCCGTCACTAGGCCGGCGCCTGGCCCGGAGATCTTCCCAGAGCCCTGGTAGCGCCATCATGTCGGAGAAAACAAGCTCGGCCCCGCCGGAATTCGCCCCAAACACAGATGCTCATTTTTGGAATATTCTAGAAAAACAACAAGATCTTGTTTGTCTTTATGATTCACGGGAGGTAACTGATGGGTGGGCCATTTACATGAGGGCAGACACTGTGGGGTGAAAGTGACTTCTGGACGTAGGCTTTAAAGTATGAACGGTTCCAAATTCCCAATATCTCCGGCCTTTCCGGTTGCAAATCGGACCCCCGCGGCTGCTGTGGCGGGAAAACCAGACATTTCTGCTTTGTGGCTTTCGGGCTGCCTCCACCCCACGCAGGCTCGTCTAGTCGCCGGAGAGTCAGGCCCGAGCCTTCCTAGTCCCGGAACAAGGGCTCCAGGTCGCGGCCGTGGGAAGCCTCCGAGAGGGCTGGGGGTAGGGATTCCTTTCAGCTCCGCAGGGCATATCACAAGCCCCTTCTTCCTCTGCGCCTTCTCCCACCTCCAGGTGCAGGGGACGAGCTTCCCCAAGTGAAGCTTAATTTTATTTGGTGAAAATTCTGGAATTCGAATTCGTTGCTCTTGTGTGTTTGTGTTAAATGCCTTGGTGGCATAGGTGTGTGCGCACCCACACAAATTTATGGAATTTATGGGCGGTGAGTGTGGCCGGGAAAGGTTTGGGGGACAAGTAGGGAAGGGTGCCTGCAGGCTCTCCAGGCCCGGTACTGGCCCCCAAGGCACGGCTGGAGCAGAGCGTGGTGGAAGTGGTAGTGGTGGAAGTGGTAAAGGCTTCAACTCGACCCCCTCTCTTTTAGGAGCCCTCATTTTCACCCTTCTCAGCCAAGCCCTTCCTTCACATTCTTGCGCCCTCTGGGGTCCCAAGCCGACCCCTCACAAAAGACCAAGGAGAAGTGGAATTGGATCAGGGCCAGAGCAGGGCTCCCCCAAGGCCGGTTCCCCGACCTGCATGGTGCAGCCAGGCCTGAGGCCTGGGACGGCCGTTTGGGAAACCCTGGAGTCGAGGCCCTCCAGACTGGACTCAGGCCGCAAGAAAGAGCATAAGCCCAGCCCTTTCACATAGTGTGGCTTGTCCTCAAACCTCCCACCTCCCCAAATCGCCCCACTACAGTCCACCCTCACTAATCACCCCCCTTCATTTTGGTTCTTTTGAAGGGTGGCCACGGGGAGTGCCTCCGCCCATGACAGCAGTGTGCGGAAAGCTGACCTGGAGCTGGGAAGCCAGGAGAAGGCACGTGGGGCTCCACCTAAATAAACCCCAAAAAGACAGCTCCAGTGAGGGCCCAACAAACCTGAGACCAGGTAGGGAGTAGCGTGTCGGCAGGGGCAAGGAGGAGCACCAAGTGCCAGAGCCTGAGATTTGGGCTCTCACATCCCGACTTGGGAGTACTTGTGGCTCCTGGATAGTCATCATGTGCAAGCCTCGGACCCCTTGGAGGGGTTAGCGAAGGATCTGTGGTCCCCCTCTCATGTCGGCCCTGGGTTCCTTGAAACAATCTAGCCCACACCAGGAGCGTCCATCTTAAAGCTGTGGCTTTTGCTTCCCCAGGACCCTACTCAACTCCCATGCCGTTAGATCACCACTTAGAGCGTCTTGATGCCCAGGCTGGAAGGATCTCGGTTGCAACAGCTTCCCCCACTGCGGTTCCAGGTTTTGTCCTGTCCGACTTTCAGCAAGCGGCTTAGCTCAGCCTTGGTGCTGCCTTCCAGGAAAGAGGGGCAGCAGCAGCCTCCGCTGACCCGGGTGCCCTTGTGGGGTATCTAGTGGGGGCTCGCGGGTCCTTGCCTTCTCTGCCTAGGGTGAGTGGGAGATAGGTTCCTGAACTTCCCAGGGCTTCTCCCTGGCACACTTTGGCTGCCACATCACGGATGGAAACGCTGCGGCCAATGGGCTCAGGTGCGCTAGCAGCACGCAGCCGGCCCTGGTGTGCTCGCTCTGGCCTGGGTGCCCTCCATACCCCCGCGCGCGCTTGCTCTCTGTGGGGCGCTGGTAGGTAGAGGTGTTCTAGGAGCCACGAGGAGAAGCGGGTGGCGGGGCCGGGTCTTGCGCTTCCCACGCTCCCTCTGTTCAGTTCACTCTCGTGGCCTCTGTTCCAGTCTGGCCTGCGGATCCCTGGCTCCCCACGGCCAAGCCGAGAATCAGCGGGCGCAGGTTTCATTGTGCAGACTCCCGGGGTCAGGTCCCAGGGTCACGTGCACGCGTCTGGCCTCCTCCGGGCGCGCCTGTTCCAGATTCGCCGACAGAGGGCGCTGGGGGCCGGAGAGGAGCGCGTTTGGGAGCCTCTCCCGGGTCCCTGGCACCACTCTGTGGGGCTCGGTGGTTCAGAGCCACACCTGACACCCTCACGTCCCAAACCGGGATAGTCGCACCGACAAAGTCACAAGAAGGAGAGCGCAGCTGACGGTGGGCGGGCGGGACGGTGGAGCCACTTACAGCGGGACCTACGAGGATATGTCTACAGGACTCCCCGGCGGACCCTCTAGTTTGTAGCCGTGTGAACACTGGAGGGATTCACTGTGTGCACCGTGGAGGCGTGGACTTCCACCTGAGTGTGCAGAGGGAGGGGAGGGACACAAGCGATAGTCCCTGAGACTGGCTCCTACCAATTTCTGAACTGGGAGGGTTTTCTAGAACGTTAGTTCAAATATCCTCTTTAATAGCAGGAAACTGAGGCCCTGAGAGGGCAATGACTTATCCAAGGTCTTGCAGCACTTAGAAACAGGGCTGACTCAACTAGCACTGGGGAAGGGCGGCCCCTCCGCTGCCCTCTGAGCCTTGCGAACCATTGCAGTTGTACTAGGTCGTGGTTCTGGAGGTATGCCTGAAGGGGTGTGCAGGGGTCTGCATGGGTATGCACATGTGTGTTGGTGCACGTGTATGTTGGAGGCAGCCTATGGCCATCTGACAAGGGCTATGTCTCCATGCGTGGGTGCCTGTAAAGAGCTCCGTGGCTGCCTGAGTGTGTTCCCCCTTGAAGGAGTAGATGTGTCTGCAAATTGTGTACAGATATATTTGTGCCTATTCAAGTGTGTGTTTGTGAAGAGATGTGTTGTGAGGAGGTGTGTGTAGAAGAGTGAAGGGATATTTGTGTCTCTGAATTGTGTACATGTGCTTAAAGGAGTAATTGTGGATTGTAAATAATTGTATGCTGGAAAGGGGCCTGGCACTCCCCATCCACTAGAACCCCACCGCCTGCCTTTACTGCTCCTTCACATATGCCCTAGAGCCCATTCTCATTCTGGGCCCCACAGAAAGGCGCAAGGAATGAGAGGGCTGAGGGACACAGGCTCTGGGGTGTGGCTCTGCCCCAATGCCCAGCAGGCTCTAACGGGCTGCGATTAGGCAAAGCTTCTCCTGGGCTGCACAGGGAGAGAGAGAGAGAGAGGGAGGGAGAGGGAGGATGAGGGAGGAAGGAGGATTACGGCAAATTCATTTCTATTTTCCAGCCCACTAAGCCTGCAGTGTGTCTCTGGTGTTAGCATGAGAATGGGCCAGGGCTCTGTGAACACCCCCCGCCCCCGACCTACTGACCCCTCTTCCCCCCTGACGTGAATAGCAAGACTCACAGCCTCCCCAGCCTCTCCAACTAGTGCCTGCAAAGCCACAGCCCCTAATCAGGGTAATTTAATATATTTTAAGCCCCCGGCGGCTTTATTTTCCCTCCTTTTCGAGTTTGTTTTAGGCATTCACAGCTCTCACCCCGTCATTAGACGGCCTTATTTGACGGATGGAAGGAGCTGCTATGAGACCACAGCCCTTTGTGTCCCCCACATAAGCTGGGCTTCCCCGTAATTAGAATGGTATTCCCAGCCATTGAGGCTTTTCATGAGGCAGAACAAAAACTCCCCAAGATGAATATCCCCCAACTCCCAGCCCCCTGGCCAGGAAAGGGGCTGTGAGTTAAAGGGACTCCTTGGGGAAAGCAGTCCAGAGCAAGGACAGCCAGGGTCCTACCAGGGTGAGGAATTTAGGGGCCATGGGAAGTGGGCACCAGACAAAGGCTGGTGGCTGGTCACGGTTACTGGTAAACACCAGTCACCTATACATACTCCACCCAGCACTCAGCCAGCCTCAGGATGTGCTGGGCTCATCTGAGGACCTTCATATTCCATAGAGTCCTGGGGTGTGGAACCAGGCTGGAATGTGCATGTAAAACACAAACATACACAGTCACACTAGTCACTCACATGCAGGCTTGGGATTACATTGTAAACACATATATACACATACATGTACACATGCATGCTCAGCCACAAGATTACAATGTCACCAAAGTAGGTTAGGAAATACCTGTAAATATACACACATCACACACATGCTACCCAGACAGAACCAGACTGCAGTTTGTCTTTATATCTATGCGCGCGCGTGCGCGCACACACACACACACACACACGGCCAGCCCCTCAGACAGATTGCTTGTGAACACACAAACACTCCTGCATACTCGTATACATACATACACCCTTAGGGTCATCCAGACCCCAGTTTTTCTGGGGGCATTCACCAGCCTGTGCACACTGTGGCGCACCACCCCTCCTCCCCAGGACATAGACTCACTTCTGGCCACATTCCTAGGTCCATGCTTGCCTACGTGCAAGTAGTTTGACATGCACGCACATGCATGGATGCATGCTCATCCTTTGGCTCACACTGACATGTGAAAACTCAGGAAAATACTATAGAACCAACATGACATTGCAGTGTTTCCATATTTTCTATCCAGCCCCTCCCAGACGCTCATTACCAGACATGCTGGGGAGTTTTGAGGATAAGCCCCCACTCAACTACACACTATGCTATGAACTCAGCCCCCAAGTGGGCTGGGTTCTCTGGGGCTCAGGTGGGTCTCCTATGCCCTTCGGGGAGAGGAGATCTCCCTTTTCTAGATTGGACCATGCTCCAAGGACAGAAGGCAGGTGTCTGGCTGTCTGGTACAATCAGTAGCTTTTTTTCAGGATTCAGGAAAGGCTCAGAGGGTGATAACTAGGTCTGGGAGTCTGCAGAAGGGAGAACTCACCTGCTAACTGATGCACAGGGATGCAGTCCCATGGAGAAGTAGTGAGTGCCTCATCTCTAGGAGGATTCCAATAGGGGCAGCATGATAACCAGGCAGAGATGTTGTGGGAGAATTCATTTGTTTAGTTCAGCTCCTACTCTCTATCAGACCCTGTGCCCAGTGCTTGGAGTACAGTGGTGAGTAACATACAAGCCTGTCTTCAAAGGATCTTAGAGTCTTAAATGGGAAAGTTACACACACACAGTTAATAGACAGGCCTGGGCCAGGGGACAGGGATAAGGCTGGGGCAGAGAGGAAAGTGATGTAATGGGTCTCTAGTTTCCACAATGGAATATTGGCATCAGGGACTGAAGTGGATCGTTTAACATCCTGTGCCCAAGGCACACTTGTGGCACTTTGGAAGGTTTTTTTGTTTTTTTTTTTTTGAGACAGAGTCTCGCTGTATCACCCAGGATGCAGTGCAGTGGCATGATCTCGGCTCACTGCAACCTCTGCCTCCCAGGTTCAAATAGTTCTTGTGCCTCAGCCTCCCAAATAGCTGGGATTACAGCTGTGTGCCACCACACCTGGCTAATTTTTGTTTTTTAAGTAGAGATGGGATTTTGCCATGTTGGCCAGGCTGCTCTTGAACTCCTGGCCTCAAATGATCTGCCTGCCTCAGCATCTCAAAGTGCTGGGATTATAGGCGTGTGCCACCGCATCTGACCTTGCACCTTGCAAGTCTTTGTGCTGGATAAGTGATGCGTTAGCTGGTCTCCAAGGGCTCTCTACACTCTAAAATTCCTGTACTCCTGGTCTAGGTCCATGGCTTTCTCACTATGGCACCCTTCCCAAGGTGGGTGGTCTCACCCTAACTCAGGCTGCACAGTGTACCTTTATCCTGACACTTATCACCTCCACCAAAGCTGTGCCCAGGCTCTTAGTGAGGGGAGTGGCTGGACCCATTCAAGGTCTCCAGGAACAAAGGAGAGGCTCATAAAGAGTGTGACGAATTCAGTTTGCTGGGGCGGGGTGGGGGGAGTGTCCAAAATAAGTATATCAGGCTCCTTCATGCTCCTGACTTCTTAGGAGTGAAGAACAGTCCACTGCGTCTTATGGAGCCTCATTCTCTTCTATTCCAAAAGGAAGTACAGCTTTGAAGTGATGGGGTGGGGACCTCAGACAGGTAGTTGTTTGCATACTTTTTTTTAAACCTTACATCTTGTTCAATATGTGGGGCAACCATCTTACTCTTATATCTGCCGGTGGCCCAAGCAAATGCATACCCAGAAAATGACCAGA